CCAGAACCTAATACTTGGTTCGGACTTAATAATTAATTGTTGTTACAAGTACTAGAGTAGGGAAAAAGTGTATGATTTGCAGCCAGCAGACCTAATTTCTTACGGAGTTTATTGGGGTGACTTTGGTTAATAAAACCATATGGGTTTCAAGTGCACAACTCTGTAGCCCATCATCTGCACACCGTGTCATGAGCTCACCACCCAAAGTCAAGTCCCTTTCTGCTAACACTTCGCCCTCTTTGCCCCCTTTTAACCCTTTTCACCCGCTTTCTTTCTGGCAGTCATCGTACTGTTGTTTGTGTCTGTTTTTTTTCTTAATCCCTTCACCTTTTTCACTGAGTCCCCCAACCCACCTCCCCCTGACAGCTGTCAGCCAGCAGTTCTCTGTGCACAGCAGGGAGGATGTGCACAACTGAGCGTGTTTTTGAAGCTCTTCACAGGGTCATGTCTCCTTCCCTTTTTCCTTTCAAACTGCTCTCCTGACTGCTTCCCTCACTGGCTCCCCCAGCCACTAATTTCACACGTCCTGGTCAAGGAGGACGTGTCCTGACACCAGGAGCTGAACCCCAGCCCCTGCGCATTGACATCTAATTCCCTGTCACCTCACAACTGGCCTGTCAGTACCACCATCGATGGCATGACTTTATTTTGTCTATTTAGTCTGTTTCTATTTTGTGTATTAGTTTATGTTGTTCATTAGATTCCACATATAAATGAAATCGTATGGTATTTGTCTTTCTCCAACTGGCTTATTTCACTCAGCATAATCCATGTTTAAGCATGGCTAGTGACGTCACAGTATCACCTCTTATAATCCATTTCCACACCTATGAAATAGGGATCACCTGCCTTTTTTTATAATGATGAACCCCCCAAAAACTATTAATCTCTTTTGAAACAAAGTAGTTCATGATCAAATACTTTTGGAAATACTTAGTTGAAGTAAGCTAAGCTCTTTTGCTTTAGGACTCCAAACTTTAACAGTGTCAGTATTTGGGACTATCCAAGGAGTAGTTACATTATGTAGCATTTCACAAGCTTATTTTACTCCATTACCATTTTTCGTAACATATCTCACAACATGTTTTGGCAGGAGACTGAGGTGATTGCATCATTAATAGTGCCAATAAAAGTACAAAAGTTCTATGTAATCAAGATAGTCAAGATATGTTAAGTAAAATAATGGAAGCTTTGTAGCATCAGGGGCCACATACAGGTTTAGGGCGAGGATTGTCTTTCTGATAACAGGGATAGCAATAGAGCTATAGAAACATTCTAAACCACAGCGAGGGGATGTTATCAATTAGATACAGAACTTGCAGTAGAGAGGCTGGGATTTCAAACTCCTGAATGTTTGGATTTCTCTCTATTTTGAAGTCTTCTCATTCCCTAATGTTTATAAAATTTTTACTGGCTGCTGGGTCAGAACTCTAAGAGGATCAGGGATTTACACTGTGCCTCGTGGATGCAATTTAGGTTGCTATCACCGACTGTGATAGGAAAAGCTGTCCTTTAATTTCAGCTTGTTAGTGTGTATTACTGTTTTCAGGCTGTCTATGCTTTCTAAGGCGGGTCAATGCTAAAATTCCTTTTTATTTTTCCTGCCAATGCATCTGAAGATTCAAGGTGAGGAGGATGGGAGAGAGCTACATTTTTCTGGGAAGGATAAAAAGATATTTGGATTCAGAGAAATACCCTCAAGGTCTTACTTAAAGCCTGGGATCAGGAAGCTAAAAGACGCACGCCCTCGCCCCACCCCAAGAGAAAAGGGCAGGAAGTAATGATGGCTCCTAAAAGCAAAACAACAAAAACAACAAACATCTTTGTAATCCCTTCAGAGATCTCTGATGGATATTTCTGTGGCTTTTCATGGTATTCAGTATAATGGAGCCGAGGCCCATTTCCCCATGAAATGTTCGGCACCCTCCCATCACTTGGTCAAGCCCTGTAGAGTGGGACGGATTTGGGGTGTGGGGTGAGGTGATGGAGTAATGGTGGGGAAGGTGGGCTATGGCTACACACTGAGGCTGCTGTGGATGCTTGGTTTCCCCGAAAGGAGCCGATGGATTCTCCCAGTTTGTAAATTTAATTATAAAAGAGGTTCAGTCATTTTTAGTACCATTTGTATGAGGCCTTTTGAGCCCCAAGCCCCAGCACGGAACCCTGGAGGACTGAGCAACAGTGTGTGTGAGCCTCAGGGATTCTGTTAACACCTTTGGTCTAAGGCCTAAGCCCCACACAGACTTCCAGTGTCCGTTTTCTGGAGAGTGCAGTGTAGTTTGGGGGCCTTTATGCTCTATGGATAATAAGAAGAGAAGGAAAAATATACCGAGGAGTAATAGCAGTTCCACTGCAAGGACTAGACAGGAGTGGAGCTGGCCCAACCTGTCAATCACAGATCTTTCCAGGCCTGGGGACTTGCTGTCAGTTCCGTAAGCCCTGCGGGTAGGGAAGTAAGTCATCCAAGCCGTCCAAGCCCATCTTTCCACAGGGAATTCTGGAGAGAGAAAACAGTTTTGTTTTGTTTTTTTAAAAAGGGTATTCCAAAGGAAGAATTCAAAGAGAGCCTGCCAGGAGCAAAGAAGAACTTTAATTTGCTTATCAAATTGAAAGTTCCATGCGTAACACAGTAGGTGGAGTTGAAAGAGAACCTCTGCTCTTACGCATTTTATGACTCTTAAAAAACAAAACACATGTACAGGGCCAGCGTTGCCCTATGAACCACGACTAATATAAGGAAGGTGGTACGGGCTCCGCAGATTCTTGTGTTGCATGAAATTAAGTATGAGTTCGAGGGAAGGAGGGTGCCTGCTCCATTAGTTTTCCTGTAGAAAATGTACTTTGTAATTTTTAATGAATGGAGCTGATGGTTAACTTTTGGACAATTTTACACCAATGAAAGGGAATAAGTACAACATATATACCTATGGTTTAAAAGACCCAGTCTTTTTAAAAATTTTGGCCCAAAGTAACTCAAACGTACTGTCCTTAGTCCCATCTCGGGATGTTTGTGTCTTCCATTTCCTCAGCCTGGCACGCCTGCTCTCCAGATGTCGGTGTGTCTGGCACTCTCACTTTCTATGGTTCACTGCTAAAATGTCACTTTTTCAGAAAGGTCTTGCCTGATCCACTTATATAAATGATTTATAGTTCTGTTCCCAGCCCCTACCCACCATTACCCTACTCCGGGATTCTTTATAGCTGTGTCATCACCTGGCGCATTATGTTTCTTCATCTTCGATCTCCCTTCCCTAGGATTGTAAGAGTGCCAGGAAAACAGATGAATCTCGGTTTGCACCGTGATGCACAAAGGTGGTGCCTGGAGTGGGTCCTTGAACATAGTAGGAGTGAGATGAATGTTTACTTCATGAATGCAGGATGGCATGAAAACGGGAGGTAGTGTGGTAACTTTTACATCTTTCCATGTATATTACTCTTATATGTTTTCCGAAATATGCCATACTAATTTTCAGCAAGTGGAGGAGAACAGATTTCCGGAGAATAAAGTGAGGACAGCAGCAGTGACTCTTACCCTGCGCCATTACCCTTTATCCTGTCAAACACTTCTGGCTGTTCTGAGTACTGGCTAAGAATAACTTCTTACTATTCATGGTTCTCCTGCCACTTTCGTCCCTTCAATAATAGTGAGGGTACATGTTTTTTTTCCAAGACACCCCTAAAAAGGCATTAATTTTTATATTAAATAAACAAGAAACAATAGAAGAAAATAGCAGAGGAAAAAAGTAGATATGCAAGGAAGGAAAATATTTTACCTACAGAAGTATACTTTCAACTATCTTCATTTCTCATGCTGTTATTAAAAATATCTCTGCTTGGCCAGAACCGTCTCGTCTCCATGCTGACTACTTTGCTTCTCCTGTGAACTTTGTAAGTTTGCGTCTGGCAGCAACTTTGTTTCCCTTGGAACTTACTACTGTGTAACATACTGTTAACTGAAGGTTGTGATGTAGAAATGTATTATTAAAAATAAGAGCAAGAGAGAGAAGAATTTATTCCATAAGGATGAAAATGACTTAGTGTCAAGGAAGTTAGGGTTTTCAAAGTGCTTTATATAACAGATTGTGTTTCTTTACAAGAAAGTGTATTTGTTTCATACAATTAAATAGAAGGGTCTTCCTTTTGTCTATCCTGGTAGTAATGGAGGCTTAGAGGGGAGGAAGGATAGTGTTTTGAGGGATTTTTTTAAAAAGAGAATTGCTTCATCAGATGGAAAGGTTTTGTTTGCCATGTGTAGGTATAACCTTGCTAACCTACATACAAGGTCTATCCAGAAGGTGTCCAGTCATGTAATATGAAAAATAGACATTTATTGAAGAAGGTACAAGATAGAAGAAATATTGTACATAGGACAATGACATTTCAGTCCCCTTCAAAGTAGGTACCTTGGGACCTCACACAGTTCTCCCAGTCACCATGAGCTGTCCCATTGTATTTTCCTGAATCTCATCGTTGATCTGAAATCTCTTCCCTTTCAAAGGTGATTTTAGTTTTGGAAAAAGCCAGAAATCACAGGGCACCAAATCTGGGCTGTAGAGGACTTGAGTCACCTGAGTGATTTGATGTTTTGCCAAAAAACTTTGCACAGAGATGTGATACATGAGTGGGTGCATTATTGTGATGAAGCTGCCAATCACCAGTTGTCCATATCTCTGGCCTTCTGAATCATCTGAAGTTTACACAGAGGAATGTTCAAGTTTAATGTAAAATTGATGCAGATTCCTTGCTCTAGTTGCTCAGTCATTTAAAATGCAATAGGCTGCATAGTATACATGCTCGCTCTGTGGAATCCACCACCTCCACCAACTACAGTGAAGTTGTCATTGTTCACACATGCACATTCCAGTCCACTCTCCTTGGCTGCCAGGTTACATCGATGTGGCACAAACCGTCCTTGTTAAATTAACAGTGGCTGGACTTTTTCCAGACAGACCTTGCATCTGAAACCTTCTGGTAAGATGCTTATTAAAGTGTTGATACCCATCGCTTCTCGGCCTTTTGGCTGAGATCAAATGTAGTATCTGTTCTTATCAGTTTGAAATGTTGTTACCCAGAGGAGTAGTCATCGTTCAATACTGTATTGTACCATGTATCTTGGTCACTTTTTTGCCCAAATTTTTGAGGGAAAAGTAAGGGTGTGCATTATACATGGTTAGTACCTGAAATACCTTGTATCTATTCTTGTGTTTTGTAATTATTTGTTAACATAAAATTTTTCATACATTAATATGTTCAAAAATAAATGCTAAAATTCCTTTATAAAACAAAAAACAAATTGTCTCCATATAATAAAATTAAAAATTAAAAGATTTTTTCCTGGAAGTGTGGGTCATAAACATGTGTGCGCATTATACACAGCAAAATATGGGGGCCAACCAATATCTTTTATAGATGGTGAGAGACAAACGTTCTGTCTTCCTGAATTAAGCAGCCATGTACTCCTTGTCAACCAGAATGTATTTCAGTTTTTTATTTTTATTCATTTTTCCAGTCTCAGTCTCAATCCCTCCACCTTGTGTTTTATGTTGCCAGCACCTGCACGTAACTAATCTCAAAATCATAAGTATTCCTCCTCCTAAACTAGTACTATTAGTAGTATTGTGTCACATTGATAGACTTGGTCTCTTTTCCCAGAATTGCCTAGATATGCTACTGCTCCTCATTTATCATGAAAGCTTAATCCAGATGAATTCAATTGCAAAAAGAAAAAAATAATTCCACAATTTCAGCTTTGGCTCCTCGTTGTCCATGACCCATTTCTGTCTTTTATTCAATCCCATGGTAATGTCAAGAAAATGCTTCAGTCTTCTGTCATTAATACTAATCTTACATGTTTGATTCAGAGGCTGCTTTGACTTGCTCATTGGTATGACATCAATATCAGTATGCACTGAATTCCGAAATTCACTGACTTCATTGTGCAAGCTCTCCTCCTCACTATTTATTAAAATCAACTAATTATTTTTGTTTGTCTTCATCTGTTTTGACTAACAGTCAAGAGAGTAGGAATAGAGAGGTGTCTATGTACTTTCTGAAACATTTAGCCCTGTGGTTTTGCTTTAACAGGAATATGTACCTGTTGCCAAATACTTTATTTTAATTGAAATAATCTGTAATATGAAATAAGTCAGGCATTTTTCTATTGGAGTATAGGTTTTTCATACATTTATATTTTTATTTTATTTTTTTATTTTTTATTGAGGTAAATCATATGTAGCATACAATTTACCATCTTGACCATTTTTTCACTTAATCAAAAGTATATTTCTTAACAGTCAATATTATTTGTATTAAATTTCTGGATTTTTTAAAGGACTATTGAAAATATTCTATATATTTTAGTCTTTGGCTCATGATCCGAGGACAATGCTTATAACAGGAAAATAAACTCTATGTGCAAATAGGATAAAATTCATATGCTGTCCCATGCTAAAACAAAGCTACCCTCATTCCCCACTTTCCACGCAGCCCCCATCTGTGCCAGGTATGAAGAGGGATAGGTACCCAAGACCCTAACCAGCTCCCACCACCACCCCTTCCTCTGCATTAAAACAAAGCAAGTTATAGAAAATACTACAGCAAACCACATGGACCCACTGAAATAATTAATGCTGATTTTCAGCTCAGATTAATTTAATTCAAAATAAATTTTTACTGGGAAAGCCCTTGTATGATTTCCTCAAGGGCAAAGGGAAAAATATCCTGCTGATTTCCATTGAATAAAGAACATTCCAATGTTACATTTATTACATCAGAGTTCATTCCTTTTCAGATTATATTTCACTTAGCATGCAGATTTCTATAACTTTTCATTACTTTGAGTAAAGTAGTTAATAGTATACATTTTAAAATATCACATACTTGGTCAACTCAGACTATTAAAATGTAATGTAGTAATGATATTAAAATATAATGCTAGAATAGAATATAATTTCTTTACCTTAAATAACTCTCATTGGTCTCTTGTATAATTCTGGAAAATAACTATGTCTGATACATAAATTTTAGAAAACTTTACTGTTTTATGCTTCAAAAGAAAAAGGCAGATTTTAGAGTAAATTTTTGGAGGTTTATTTTATAAGTTCTGACTTGTAAAGTAACAAAATTTTCTTGTAGCGAGTGATGGCCCAAACTTGTTTACATTATGACTGTTTTTGTTCTTTGACTAAGCAACATCATCTCTAAGATAGTTAATGACAGACAGCAGTGAATTCCATGCTTTTCGTCTCTTGGTTCTGATCCCGGCTAAATGTACCTTCTTGATTTACTACTTATCATCATCAAATATTCTCTCCTTGAACAGTATATTTTGGAATACAATTTGTGTTTGTGAGGTTTGTTTGCCTCTTTTTATTGTGATACTGATACATAGTAGAATTTGCCAAGTTCTATCACATGATTTTAAACTTATTCACAAAGAGGATGATAGTTATTACAGGCTTTAGAAATTATTCTCTTCAGAAGGCTAAACAGTGAGGGAAAAGAAAAGATAAGCCTTCTGCTTAAAAATCAGTCTACTCTAACAGCATAGGGCTCAAGTTCATTATCTCTTTAAAGCTGCCAAGTCAGGCATCTCATCTTTTTGTTGTGAATGAAAGGTAGTCCAGAGCCTCAATAAGGCAGGTGATTGAAATGTGTCAAGAATTAGTTTTGATAATTCAGGTGAAAAACTAATTAAGTGTTCTCTTAATTTATATGTTTCCAAATCAGACTCTTTATCTCATTATTTGATTAGTTGTCTGTTAACTTTATTCTAATTAACTTTAAATTAGTATTGATGTGTGGCGGACCCTGGCCAGCAGAGTTCGCCTGTTGTGGCTTATGGCGAGAATGAATGCACAGGGATGCAAAGGGTATCAGCCACACTGATGAATATTTACTAGCAGGTGTAATGTGGATAAGTACATAAATTTAAAAAATAAAGCATTAAATAAATATCAACTCGGTAAGCATTCAGTTTTATGTGATGATTCTCTGGGCTACTTTACCCAAAATTGTGTTATAATTAAAACACTGCTTTAATGTCCACGGCTTGCAATAATTGACTATGTCATTAAAAATGAGAAATTTAAAATTATTTTGTCATATTTTTTACTCATTATACAATGAGCATTTCTCATGTAATTTTTTGAAAAGGCCTTAAAAGCCATATTTTAATTGCTATGTATATAATTTTTATACTATAATTTATTGAACAGTTCCCTTTTTATTAGATAATATTATGATAACATTATAATTACTGAATTTTTACATTTTATTTACTGGTAAAAAGGGTGTACATTTTAAGGAATATGTAATATGTATTAAAATTGCTATTAATTTTTACAAAAAGACATATGTAGTATGTGTAGCTAGGTATTTGTGTGTATTTACATATTTGCTAAGTGCTAGCCATATATATGCTTACTTGTCTTGTTATATTCTCACCAATATACAACATTATTAATTTGTTAATTTAAGTTTATGAAAAAATGAAAAATCCACTATGGTATTTTCATTTTTCCTAATGTTTTCCTAGTTCTTATAAGTTTATTCTCTCAGATAAAATTGGGTTATTGTTTTTAAAATTTTTTTAGAAACATACAATTAGCTTTTGATTGAAATTGAGCTAAACCTGTATGTTTATTTGAGTAGAACTGAACACTTAAAATTTTTATAGAATTTGATCTACCAAGAATACTGTGTCAGCATCTGTAAAGTTTTACCATTTTTTATTGTATTGTTTTTGTCGCTACTGCAAACAGTTTCTTTGTCATTTTATCTACTGGAGTCCTGCTGCTGTGTAGAAAAGATAGTAATTGCAGAAACATGTTGTGTGGTCTGTGTTGCTTGTGTGCGAGTGTATCAGTGACATGAGTACTCATGCACAGTACGTGTACTAAACCATTGAATAATGTTTTCTTCCTCTCATTGGATATGTTGTACTTTAATATTTTTCTAGGTAAATGTTATTTTTAATACATAAATGCCATGGTTTGTCAGCTAAGTAGCTCAGGGCTGTTACAACAATGGGAATAACTCGATAATATTTTGAGTCTGTGTTTTATAAAAATCTACATTATAACTTTGGGGCTCATTTCACATGAAATAATTTTACTTCATAGAACACTCTTATTTCTGTGACATCAAAATAGAACTAAAATTATTGAAATATTTTGGCCTTCTTGTTTTTATCATTTATGACAGTAGATTAAGCTGTACTAGAGGATTTCTTCAGCATACTTTCCTAATAAACTAGGAGCTTAATAATATGCAAGTAAAGCTTAACATGGTTTAACATCTATCCAGGATGTCCCTGACAAAGAACTGTAAAGCTGTACATTAGCAAACTGTTTTTGTCACACAGTGATATTAAAATACCTTTAAAACTACTAGCAGTTGAAATGTTAGCTATTGAACCAGAAATTTATTACTTCATGTATGTTCATTTATTCACGATGGCTATTTAATACATTACTCTAAGAAGACACATTTTGAAAACCTAATTATTCTTCAAAAGAAAGAGTAAAAATACTTGCCCCGTAAAATAAGTATCATCTAACCTACTGTAATTATTATTTTGTCTTACAGCTCATGGGGCATTCAGAATGGGACCACAAACGAGGGCCAAGAGGATCACAGGTAGGTTTTTTTTTTCTTTTCTTTTTTGCATTTTGTTTCTTAATGCTTTGAGCCATGAGATTTCCAAAACTCAAGGAATAATAAGTAAAGGAAAAGGCAAAATAATCATGCCATTTGTTTTTACTTAAGTTAGCTATAATTAAAGTCTGGCTTCAAATCCCAAAGGCAGAGGCCAGTATATTCCTCCTAAGAGCTTTCTGGTATCCCAGATTAGCTGTGTTTTTATGAATGCAGATTTCACATTCATCTTGTCTCTGCTGAATACATTTTGATCAGCAAGTCACTCTCTATTTATTCACTTCCTTTGATAACTTTTTCCATGTATTTTCTTCTTTTCTCTATCTTCCTGTTTTTGGTTAAATATTTTGAAATATAATCAGACTAAACCCTAAACTAATTACAGATTTTGTCTCTAAATTAACTGTCTTCGTCTTAGGGAAATAGAAAGATGAAAGGACCTATTATTTTGAAAAGAAACAAATTCTAAACCTTTCTATATTACCAGACTGTTTTCATTGTCTTACTTTATGTCTTAGGCAAGGAGAAAAGCTTCCATGAC